GCACTAGGTGACATGGGAGCAGCGACATAGCGAGACTTCACGGATAGCGCTGCCTAAGGCCCAGCACACGGCCTGGCACCAAGAGCTGGTGTGGACTTGATATCAGAAGGCGGCCTGGGTTACCTTCCTGCCAGCGGCACTGGCCGTGCTCTTCTGTGTCCTTTCCATGCAGGACTGGCCGACACGTCAACGATGAGAGAGAATCGCTGATTGGCTGCCTCCTGCAAGCTCCACACTGGGGATCGAGCCTGCAACCTGGGCATGTGCCCTGACGGAGAATCAAACTGTGACCTCCTGGTTCAAAGGTCAATGCTCAACCACTGGGCCATGTGGCCAGGCAACATTTTCATTTCTTATAATGTATTTCTGCTGGTGACAAATTCTCTTAGTTTTATCTGAAAATACCTATTTTCACGGGTAATAGACTTCTACATTTGACTGTTTCCTTTCAGCATTAAAAAAAATTTTTTTTTATTGATTTCAGAGAGGAAGGGAGAGGGAGAGAGAGAAACATCAATGATGAGAGACAATTAATTGGCTGCCTCCTGCACGCCCCCTACTGGGGATCGAGCCCACAACCCTAGGCATGTGCCCTTGATTGGAATTGAACCCGGGACCCTTCAGTCCACAGGCCGACACTCTATCCGCTGAGCCAAGCCAGCCAGGGCCTTTCAGCATTTAAAAAATGTTGTTTTGGGCCATGGCCGAGCAGCTTAGTTGGACAGAGCATCATCCTGCTATGCCAAGGTTGTGGGTTTGATCCCTGGTCAAAGCACAATCAAGAATCAACCAATGGCCCTAGCTGGTTTGGCTCAGCGGATAGAGCGTTGGCCTGTGGACTGAAGGGTCCCAGGTTCGATTCCAGTCAAGGGAACATGCCTGGGTTTCGGGTTTGATCCCCATTAGGGGGCATACAGGAGGCAGCCAATCAATGATTCTCTATCATCATTGATGTTTCTATCTCTCTCTCTCTCTTCCTCTCTGAAATCAATAAAAATACATTAAAAAAAAAGAATCAACCAATGAATGCATAAATAAATGGAACAACAAATCAATGTGTCTCTCTCCCCCTCTCCTTCTCTCAAAATCAATAAATACAATAAATAGCACTGGCCAGTGTAGCTCAGTTGGTTGGAGCCTCATCCCGTGGCGGGTTTGATTTCTGGTCAGGACACATACCCAGGTTTTGGGTTTTATCCCTGGTTGGGCCCTGTTCAGAAGGCAACTGATCAATGTTTCTTTCTCACATCGATGTTTCTTTCTCTTCCTCTCTCTAAAATCAATGAAAACCGTATCGAGTGAGAATTAAAAATGAAACATATATTTAAAAGATGCTGTTTCACTGTCTCCATTTCTGATGAGGAAGCCGGGACCATTTGAATCCTAGTTCCTGATCCCATGTAAGTTGGGTCATTTCGGATTGCATCCTGGGAGGTGATGTTGTAGACATTCTGGATCTTGTTATCGCCTCCCAAGGATGTGGCTATTTTAGTTTCAGGGGACATTTATGTTTGCTAGTCAGAAACTGTGGCAGTGGCGATGGTTTACAGTTCACTTCAGCCCTCCTGTCTGCCCCACGCGTCAGTCCAGGGGTGGGCAGGAGTCCTTGGCTGAGTTTACACACGCAACTTGTGTTTTTCCTTCCTTGGCATTTTCCTCTCTAGTAGCTCTGGTGACTCTGACTCCCTCCTCTGGTTCTTCAGGTCAGTAAGACAGCTGGCTTCCTACCACAGCCCTAGCTGCCTGGCGCAGAGCAGTGCCTCAGGTTAACGCGGTGGGAAACACACACACACACACACACACACACACACACACACACACACACACACACACAGACACCAGAAGACTCACCTTGTGGCCAGCTCTTCCTGCAACTTTCAATTCCCCTCTCACATCCACCTGCCTTTGGTCACTCTCCGGAGCCATCTAATAGTTGTTCTTGGGCAGGGTTTCTGTTTTTTGCTTTGCATTGTCTAGAATTTAGTTACTCACAAGGGGGGTTATCTGTTAGAAACTTACGCCACCGCACAAGAAACAGAACTTTGGTATCTTCTTTGGAATAGAACCAAATCTGTCATATTTACAAGGGAAAGTGGGGAGTCCTGCCCCACCACCCAGGTCAGACGGGAAGAGGCAGACACCCAGGGGCAGTCCAGGGCAGAGGCCACATTTTGTTAGCAAAGTCCAAAGGGGTGGGTTGTTCCTGTCTGTTCGGCTTTCTCCCTTGGAACCAAGGTGCAGACCAGTCCTGCAACTTGGCAGAGCTGAGGCTCAGAGGACCTGGCAGTGAGGCCCTCAGCTAAGCCCTTGCCAACTGCAACCTCTAGCAAGCTGACCCCGAACCACCTCCAAATGCTCCCTCCTGCAATGGCTGCTTCTAGAGATTTACTTTTCATTGTTCCGTTTTTTTTCTTCCGTAAAAAAAACAAAACATGACCGTGTGTCTTTGTCAAACTTTCAATCCTGTGCTACATGCATGTACTATCTATGCAAACAACAAGTGAGCGGTACAATGCTACCAGCCCACAGCCTTTTGGAAAGAATCACCATCTCAAATGCATTTATATACTCTGTAACCTGAGCATCTGGCTTTGGGCAGTCTTTCCCAAGTGTGTACAATGAAAACAGGCTCAATGTCACTCAACAGCAGCCTGATTAAATAGCTTATGGTTCATCTGTGGTTTTGGAATTTGATGCCTGATGCACTGACAAGGAACTCCAAGGCAATGAGAAAAAGCAAGTTGCAGAAAAACTTATTTATAAATATGCATAATAGCAGGTAACATAGAGCAATTTCTACTCAGAGGACATAGTAATTCATTTAATTCCCAAATATCAGAGGAATATACGATTACCCCATTTTATAGATGGGGCAACTGAGGTACAAAAAGGTCACTTGCCCAAGGTCACATAGCTAAGCGGCAGAGGCTGGACCTGAACCTGACAGCCTGCCTGTAAGGATTCTCTCAGTGGCTGTGAGGCGTGACCTCTGGGAGCTAGGTATGAAAGGTGACATCCCTAACCTACAGAAAGCAGCTTACGTTTCTCTCCAAAATCCCGAGTTTAGCTGTGAAGTCAGCTGCTCTTGCCACATGGCCAACATTGAGCTGACAGGCTGTGACGCAGGGGGAGGAATCTTTTACTCATATGCTGGTATGTATGTGTGTGTGTGTGTGTGTGTGTGTATGTGTGTGTGTGTGGAAAGGAGAGATAGAAACATCAACGATGAGAGAGAATCATCAATTGGCAGCCTCCTGCAGGCCCCCCACTAGGGATTGAGCCCAAAACCCAGGCATGTGTCCTGATGGGGAATCGAACCGTGACCTCCTGGTTCATAGACCGATGCTCAACCACTGAGCCGGACGGGCTTATGCTGGTATATTGCTTGACAGTTTTAGTACAAACTTAAAAACAACATCCACCTGCCCCTCTGGACCCAGCTGAAGGTCCTCCCCTCGCACTGGGGCTGCCCAGTGGTCCTCAGTGGTGACTGCTAGGCCTCAGGACCTGTGAAGGCAAAGCCCGTCTCCTCATCCTCACCGAGATCTCTAAGCGGTGCCACGACGTGAATGTTTCCTGCATGTCCCGCACGAAGGCCTTCCCTGCCAGCTGTTTGGGTGAAGCGGTTTCCTCATCTGCAATCTTGTCACAACAGTATCTACCCCCACGGGGCTGCTATGAGGGTTCAATTTAGCTAAAGCACAAGCATTTTGGAAAGCAGCAGGCAGGGCCCTAACCGGTTTGGCTCAGTGGATAGAGCGTCGGCCTGTGAACTGAAGGGTCCCAGGTTCGATTCCGGTCAAGGGCATGTACCTTGGTTGCGGGCACATCCCCAGTCAGGGGCGTGCAGGAGGCAGCTGATTGATGTTTCTCTCTCATCCTCTCATCGATGTTTCTGACTCTATCCTTCTCCCTTCCTCTCTGTAAAAAATCAATAAAATATATATTTTTTAAAAAAGCACCAGGCAGGTAGTGTGACATGCTAGCATTATTATTAAACTCTTTGACCTGAAAACTACCACCTAAGCTTCCATTTCGCCACCTGTAAAAGGGCAAACAGGACACAGCTCAATAAATAAACACGTATTTACAAAAGAAACTGACAATGGCCCTGCATTGCAAGAACGTGGGGCTGTGACGGAACCCAGAGCTTACTGCTCGAATTTTTCACCTGGTCCGCTGCCATGTTCCGTCTGAGCCCTCAGCACAGGAAGCACTGACCAGAATTTGGCAACTGCGCAGACAACAGAGCGGGGTGTGCAGCGGAGAAACCTGGCCGCCCCGAAGCCAGCCCGTTTCCTCTCACCCGGTAGCTCCGGCACCCCAACATGTGGCACTTTCAGGAGCAGATCCTCCTTCCCACGTGGCTACATAGCTCCTGGAGGTACTAGAAACCACGGATAATCACTGTGCACCTCCTGGAGACTCAGGGAAACCCACTTTATGATAATAGTGATGTGTACTATGGGCGAATATGCAATTTGAAGAAACGAGAATAAAGACATTTCTTGCCCGGGGCTGGCAGCTGCCAGCACCACCTCCCTGACTCCCGAGGGCTCCCCTCTGGATGACTCAATCTCTACCACGAGAGGTACCGGGCAGAAAAGTTTGAAAGCCTCGAAGATTCTACAATGACAATTTTGTTTTTATCCATCCAGACCCGCCTGCTCCCCCTTGTGACCAAGGCCCCACATTGCAAAGTAAAGGAAATAATTGGCTCAACATTTCTAACACGGTATGAAATTCACGCATCAATAACACCACTGACCTTAGTACCCGACAGGAATGGGGCCC